ATAGGTCTCTCAACAGGGATACTAGTCGGACTTGTATTTTATTATCATTCACTCAATATGCGACTCTATGCTATTAACAACCACATTGCCGATTGGCGTGTCACAATAACAATTTCAGCAATTTTCATTATCTTAAGTGAAGTTCTCGTATGTGGTATCCATCCATTTCCTTACAATAACAAACCATTGTCAATGTCTTCGTTGTCAAATGATACTAGTTGGATACAAATGTTTCTTACATTACCAAGTAAGTAAAGAAAATTCATTATCATATGCTATCATCATTGTATTCTTCTCCTAATTACTAGTGTTTGCACGTCTCTATCTGATTGCCCGTAGTGTAACATTGCATTCACCATTGGTGAGTGCAGCTTCATCGCGAACTATTGGCTATCTTAATCGAGTTCCAATAACCATTTCGTTTATCCTTCGAGCCTTCTTACAAACCTATCCAGCTCTCAGTTGGACATGTGTCATGGTAGTAACGCTACTTATTGCTACTTGGTCACTGCGTGTGTGCGAAAAAGCAATGTGGTGGCCGATAAATCCGTTATTACCACGATCGACTGAATCTACGTCGACATTCAGCAGCGCAATATGGCTCACAATTGTGACATTTACTACTGTCGGTTAGTATATTTACTACTAATATCGAAGATTATGAGAATTTTTACTCTTCTAGGGTACGGTGATGTTACACCTGTAACTTATTGCGGTCAAGGTAAGCTCAGAAGATTTATATAATCTTTGAATAAATGAATAAATTAGTAGAAATTGTTCATTTTCAAACCTATAATATTACCATTTAGTTTTGATAATTTTTTTTGCAACTTTCTTAAAGTAGACATCGAATTGTGCGTTTAACCTATCGCCTTATACTTCACAATGTAAGCGTATGTTTTTACAGATGTCCATAGATAATTTTGATATTGGTAAAGTTTCACTAACATTCCCGTAGGACATTGTATTATGATCAGTTTTGTCCAAGAATATTTTAATATTTCAACAAGAAACACGTATCTTTAATTAAGAATATTAAAGTATGTTTCGCTTAACTAATATATTCTTTTGCAAGATGCATTGTATTAATGAGAACTCTAGAAAATCATATATGTTCTTATAATGATTTTTGTATAGTTTCAAAAAGTCAATCGTTTATTAAATATTAATCAATGATTCTATGGATTCTATTCCAAGGAAAAGCGTAAGTATGAGTGTTGGAAAGCCGAAGATTTTCTCCTTAATTTAAACTAGGACCACTTCACTGAAATAAAGACATATGATTTTGAGATAATAAAGATAGACTATACAATATCGTGAATAATACTAAGAAATGCCTTGCACAATAGACGTGTGGTTACAAATATTTATCCAAGACAGTCAAAAAAACTGATAATCAATGTTTCTGAAATAAATTAAATTAGAAACATTCACCCGTGAGTAAAGTAATAATATGAGATTTCACTCTACAATAATTGAGTGTACTTTATTCAGAATTTGGAGGCTTTCGTTTAAAAAGAGAAATGATGGCAGAGAGAAGAAACGATAGAATGCTGACATTAGCACATTAGGCTACTTGAAAAACTGTTTTAAAATGTTTAAGAATTACATTGTAATAATGTAAATATCAAAAGTTTATTGCAAAATGCGTCAAAAATTTTGAAAGATGCATTTTTGGTGCTAGAATTTTTCGTCGTAACATCAATCGTTGCGTGAATAAATCGTTGTCGACAAAATGTTGCATGACTTCATTGTACAATAAATTTGTATATTTCAATTCTGAATGAAAAAAGATCACACATTTATAAAACGCATAAAGACTGTTCACTATTAATTCAGATTAAATATGTCAGCGTTTCATTCTCGTGAACTGTATGCAAAAACCGATCAGAAGGTTCTAGAAAATGTTTAGGTTTGTAAGCGGCTATATGATACTTGTATTGTTGGTCGGTTACATTCCGTTCTGACCAATCCTCTCGAAAATAAATAGTCAATTATTAAGTCAGGACATCCTATTCTTCGTTCAGAGCCCCGACTATTTTTACAATTGTTTCCACTGGAATCAGTCCAAGCACTTACGTCTTTGTACACTAGAAGAATCTTATGTATGAAAATACTTCAGATAGTCTCAATATAATGTGAGTTTTGAATGATATTACACATGTGTCGCATATATCTTGGAATTTTTTTATTCTGTTAATATAAGCTAACGGATGTTTTAGCAAGTCTTTGTCGGATATATCCGCAGCAAAATATTTATGAGTTTTATAAATGTATCGATCATGTTCCAATTCAGAATCCAATTTTTTTAACCTGATATCAGTATTTCCTTACTATGTCTTTTTCTTCACTCATTGTCATTACTTTCTACGAAATCAATTAGAGTTATGAAAAAAAATTGTACAATGAAATCTTGCAACTTTTTTTTACAATGATCTGTCTACAAAAAAAATTGTTGCGCAATGATTTGCCCTGCGCTAAAAAGGCCGATCACGACATTTTCCAAATTCTATCGCTATTATTAAATTTTATAATTGGATAAGTTAGTGCAAAATTGATTTATAGCGATTAAAATAAATCAAGAAAGTGTTCTACATATGTTTGTTTATGAGAGAAGATGAATATTGAGTAGTTTGAATCCATATTGGTTTTCGTAATAATGAAAGAGATGGATACTTGGAATCAGCTTGGTCAGCTGATGTCTTTTACTTTTAAGTAGATTAGCGTTTATGTACTTGAACAGCTACTATTATTGCTAAATATTATTCATAATAGTTTAAATCAATCATTTAAGGACCGATTAATTGTATTTCTAGCATAGCAATATGTATATTATCGTTTCTTGGAAAGCTAAATAAATCACAAAATATAATTGCCAGGAAAGAAAGCTGTTTTGAGATCGAAGCTCCAGTTAGAAGAACAATAAGTCTAATTTGCTTGTTTCGTTTCGTAAAAGTCTGTCTTAGACTAGAATCGCTTGATTTTCACTCCCAAATTGAAGCCTTGGAATAGAAAATCGAAGTTGGAAAGCTATTAGTTTACGTTTGCACAAAAGAAACTATATCAAAGTAACACTATTCCTATACTAACGAGACCAAACCTAGTAAAGAAAACATTGCAATTAAATTGATGAAAATAATCAAGACACGAAATATTAGTCAAAACGCTGGCTAGAATGTCTCGCAGTTATTATGATTCTCACACGATTCATTAAAATATGTTGTTGTTAGCTAATTGAGAACGATAAGTTTTCAGTATGTTTGATCGAAGATCATTATTTTGACTACTTTTACATGCATATTTAGTATATACTATATTTATGTTAAAAAGACACTTTTTTTCTCTGACTTGTCGTTCAGCTACCAATGTCTAATTCAATAAATATCATACAAAGTCTTAGAATCTTCAAGAGTAGGTTAGAATTATTCTAGATGTTCAAATGTGTCTAGTTGTCGTTTACTCGGTAAGCCTATATTATAAATTTTCAAGCGTGCCAGTAAAACACAACATATTTGAAATCTAGAAAATTTTTCTCTAGGTGTCTCTACCATTACTGCTTTTTTTGGTGTGTTTGCTGCGGCTGTTTTGATTGCTGTGTTTACAAGCAAGATCTCATTAAATCGATCCGAACAATACGTTCTTGATTTCATCCATCGAATCAATCGGGCTCGACTATACAGGGAAAAGACAATGCGAATCATTCAATATTCTTTCCGAGCATGGTTTCTCAAACGAAACGGTCATCATTATCGAGCAACATTCAATTCACTCTATCATTTACATTCCGCTCTTCGAGAAGCACGTCTCATCAAACAAGAAGATCGAAACGCAATAAATGGCAATGAATCGTTAATGACAATACTTAGTGATGTATACGACGAACAGAAAAATAATGACATATCGCTTACAAAACTCAAAACTCAAATTGGACATCTTGAAGAGAAGATGAATGGACTAGAAAGTAAATTGGACACTATAGTAAACATGTTATCTAACAATCATCCCACAGTACAGCATAGTTTATTGTGAAAAACATTCAACGCTGACTCTCACTTCTGTACGATGTTCTCAAATGAATTTAGAAGATTGATTATTTCTTTCTGATTCAATTTATAAATTAACTTTTTACTAAAATCAGAACTGCTTAAACTGAGAGTGTGGGTGTTCTCTGAATGAGAGTGAGGTTGGGGGAAAAACAAGATCCATACTACACGTCGACACATCAATCGATTATTCTATGAAAAAAGACCTCAGTTTCTTTCACTGCTACTCTCGCCAAATGTAAGCTTCAAACAGCAAAATACCAATTTCGCCCTACAATGTTTTAAAGATATCTTTTCCAAATTCTCTGTAACTAATATGATTTCAAATAGACACTAGTAAACTATCATATCAATAGATCTTTTAAATCTTTTGTTTCAAACAAGCAGCCACAAAGTAGCATATATTTAAGTGAGATTTAAGAATTTCTACTAAAAACACCACCAAAAAGTCTTTTTTTTAGTCAAAATATTTTGAATATGTGACTTCTAAGTTTGAAAAAGCTATTGTGATGAAAAAGAATTGTTAACGTATTTTTTACAGGAGCAACTTCAGATAAGATGAATTTCAGCCTTTAATACCTCATTGATATGGAGAGAGGTCTTTCGGGATATAGGTGTTTTCTAGTGTGTTTACAAGTGGATAGGACCTAGAGTTTCTCTTTGATTTCATACACAAGTACGGTGAACTTCTTTGGTCATTTTGATGATGAGAAATTTCTGTAAGAGAACGGTTGCGGTACGGTGATTTTCTGCTCTGGAATATTGCTGCCGTGTGCCATTGAATTTTACGGCAACTTCAGACCGAAATGACATGGAAATCGGACGAAAAAAGATGGAAATAATGGTGTTTACAACAATTTCTCCCTTTTTACAGAATTAAGCAGGAACCATTAGTATAGAAAAGAATGCCAGACTAAAACAAATATAAGTCTACATTCATATAGAATTCCATCAATACTATAATGTTCCATATAAATTACCATTATTATTATTCGAATTTATCATATTATGTTTATATCCAGTTTCTGTGTGTTTAAAAATAACAAAAGTTTCATAAAATTTCATGTGATCTAAGAGCAGATCGATATATAGAGTATATATCAATACTTCCAAATTCATCTAACGGTAACTTGTAAACAAAATCAAAACAATCGTCGTTAGTAATTTAGCATTGTCTTATTTTAACTCAAACCCTCAACAAAAATGTGGGATTTGGAATCAAAGCATAAAACTTCGTTGAATGATATATATATAACACAAAATAGTTTTTCAAGAAAAACATTTTCTGGAAAAATATGAGAACATCATGGTATACAGCATGTGTTTTTTGTCGGAAGTTTTTTTTCCGAAAAACATTCTCTTCATAAAAGTGAGTTTCGAAGTGATATATTATCATTTCTGAGCAAAACTCGTTTGACCAAAACTTTCCATGAATCCTATCATCACTGTTTTCGATAATGAAGCGGACGTTACATACTATACCACAAAATTGTATCGCTATTTTGTCTCACTGTCTCATATGAAGTAAATAAGAAAGACACATTGACGTAATTTTGCTTGTTTTCTAAGCTCTTCTAAAGCATGGAAAAAATGGGAGAGCTAATATATTGTTGATAACAAGTATGAATCGCAGAATTGATTCGAGACCATTACGTGATCGGTTGCTGATCAGTCAATTCGACAGATATGTAAGGGCAGCAAAAGAATGATGTACTTGTATATCTGATGAAAAATATTTTTCTACAGTTCCAAGCACAGAATTGGCTGTTGTTAACCTTTTTTAATGACACCTAATACTAGTTATAAAAAATTGGGAAAATATCAAGTAAAGAATGTGAATCAGTTTATTGAAATTGAAATCAAAAAAATTCACATGAAGTTTTCTGATGAAATTAAAAGCGGGAAAAAGGGTGGATAAATGTTTGTTCACTTGTTTGGAATATTATTATGTGGACTATTGCATTGAAAGCAAAACCATATTGTTCCAATCGGTCTCTTTGTTTGGTGTAGCAAAATATTTTCTTTGGAGTTTATCAAAGACCAACGTAAGAATATGTCGAAAGACTGGAATCAGACTCTTCCGGACAACAATTGAAACATAATAGCGAACTGCTGGATTATTGTTGTATTCCTTGCTGACATCTACCATTCGTAGAAGACGTACATGATTAGTTACATCAGCTGCCAAATTACGTCTATAAACTTCTTCGACTGTGCTATCGATAATATCTGATTGAAGACGTTGTGCAACAGATGAAGTCAACTCTTGCAGGGATGAATTAAAAATCTGATTGTAAATATCATGTTCGTAAACATATTCCACAAGCATGTCACGCGGTGGACAACCAGATCTAGATTCCTGTATTGTTGATCGTAGTCTTGGATTAATAGGTCTTCTCAAAAGATTGATAAGGAGATCTAGAGATTCTCCACTGTCTATGTCTGCACTCTTATATTGATAAGGTTCTGTTTCAAATTTGATATCATATCCAGGATTCGATTCATACGCTGCCAAATCTGTGAATCGTATGCTTTCTGGATTAAATACAGTAGCATCGTTGATAGCTGATTGTTTTATTCGAAGATATTCGTTTTTTTCTATTTCGGGCATATCAACAAGTTTTTTTGGTTTGACGTGTTGTCTCTCATTTGATAAGATCACGTTACTGTCCGTTTTTTCATGATTGGTCATGATTGATTCCTCTCTTTGCTCATCATTATTGTCGGTTGGCGCAATCGATTGAACAATTATGCCATCATCTAAACTCAAGAGAAAAACAAATTCATGAATAACTAAGCATATTCGTTCTTCTGACTATTTCCAAGAAAAGATTAAATAATTGAATTAGATTTGGGCCATTGAGCCATTGACGGATAGAAATAAGAAAAAGATCAGTAAGCAATTTTAGAAATGGCGTGTGAGCCTATACAATCTAAACAAAGCTATATGCGTCTATTTGTCATAAATATTTCCAAAGTTTCATTTTCGTAATACGTGATGATATACTACTTTTGTGGCATCTGATTGGACAGCAATAGAAAATACTTTAACAAAATATCAATATAATAGAATCTGAACGATTGAGCGAAAGGTAACTCTAAAGTACGTATATGAGGAGCATATTTATGAACGTAGTTATTCGATCGTGTGCGTCTACTTTTGTTGGTTTGTTTTTAAAACTCCTGACACTCAAAAAAATAGAAGGTTATTTAATAAACAGAGAAGCACTTTTGCAATATCGAAAAAAATGAAGTTATTGTTCTAGATTGATATTGATGAATAAAAACATACAACTTACCTTTAGTTGGAAATTCTTCCACTTCTTTTTCTACAGCTACATCGGGTATTGAAGTGCCATCGCCTTGAAAGAAAAATTGAATTTATACAACAGTCGTACTAATTATGTTCATCTAGTATTTTCAACCGCTAGCATGGTAAGTATTCTCAAAATGGTTTTCATGAGAACAACGAAAATAACCTGTCAGATTATACTTATTATAATTAATTTTCGCACGTGATCTAGTAGAACTCGATAAGTTAAATCAATATCCATTATGTATGTGCACTGATTATGATCGAAATCTTTTTAATAAAACAAAACAGTTTTAGTTTGTATGTATTCTTTTACGGAAATTGGCACCTGATTGGAATATTTTCATTTAGCAATAACACATTTCAAAACGCCTTGGATCTTTTAAATCACAATTTGAGCCAATCTGCCACGATGATGTTATAATCGATTGAGATTAACTTCACAATTTTGTTTATTTTATGAGTTATATTTCGAGACGTCATTGATATAGAACCATTATGAGAGTTTTTCAAATCAGTGACAGTTCACAGGTTCGTTAAAAAAGGCATTGATTCCATGACCGCAACTATTTCTTAGCTAAAGCAACATTGCTCAAGAGAAAGTGATCATTCTTCTGATCCAAAGTTAGTCAAAAAGAAAACGATAAATCTTTCACTCTTCTTATACTGTTCTCAATATAGATACAAAACTAATGCAGAACTACCAGTTTCTATTATGTATCATTCTAAACCAACCACAAAAGAAGAAACAGTAAGAAAATAAAACTTGTTCATTTTGAGTCATAATAATAAGCTCTCTTCCAGTATAAGCTATAACGTAAACTCTTTTTCTCACAAAATCATATTCATTTTCTTTGGAAATGTATCGGTCAATTATCATTCTCCTTCTCCACAACTTAGACGTTCAAAAATAGTGTAAATTTCGGCATCGTTATCTACGACTGAAAGAACTTAACTTACCAACAGCAATATCACCATCAGTTTCTTCTGTTTGCAGAGTTCTACTTGATGGTACTGTTTCTAGAATGTATATAGAAGATGATAATTCAACAAAAACTTGATGCTTGTGATTAATGTGACGCAAAAAATTAGGCACTATGGACCGCTTCTTATCATAATAAATAATAGTATTTGAGGTCTTGCTCGGAGATTAGCACTTACCTGGTATCGTAAACGTTTCAACTTTTGGTATTTTGGCAGCCATGCTGACCTCATCCGTTTGAAGTTCTATTTAAAAAGAAACCGATTCAGAAAAAGTATATTTTTCGCTTTCAGTTCAACATCTCTGCTGTAATATCTTGACATAATATCAAAAGAAAGCATACTTTTATGTTCATCGTATATGTAACCTATTAGAAAACTTAACTTCAAAATAATTTTTGAGATACGAACAGGACATTTATTTTGATTGAATAAGTTGAACATTTGACAACTTCAACTTACCAGCGACCTTGACTGTTTCAGCGTTTTCACTTTCACTTGTTGCGATCGGCGCTACTGGTTCGTCTACAAAGAGATTTGTTTCAGCATTATGTATATGAAGAACATCACTTTTATAAAAGTCTCTCGCTCGTGTTTGGCATGATAGAGAAATTAGGTTCTATAGACTGCTTCTTCTGGAGACACAGAAAAGTTGCTATCCTAGTCCGAGGAGCATGACTTACCTAACATCGTGATCGTTTCCTGATTTTGGATTTTGGCAGCCATGTCGACATCATCCGTCTGAAGTTCTAATTAAAAAAAATCCATTTCATAAGAAGTATATTCTTCGTTTCAAATGTCGCATCTCTAATGAGATATGCTGACGTAGTGGTAAAATAAAATGTACAATTAGGATCGTCATAAGGGAAAGGCATTTATTTTGATGGATGAAGTTTAACGTTTGACAACTTCAACTTACCAGCGGCCTCGACCGTTTCAGCATTTTCACTTTCACTTGTTGTTCTTGATGCTGTTGGTGCTTCTTCTAGAAAAAATATTTGTTTTAGTATTATGGATATGAAAAATAATAATTCTACAAGTCTTTCGTTCATGTTTTATGTGATAGAAAAATCAGGTTTTCTACACCTCTTCTTGTCAGAACATAAAATAAGACGATTTAGCATTCTGATTCCTCGAGCATTACTCGTTTAAGATCGTATTCTTCTCGAAGTCGTATGTTGCGGGAATCCTATTGCTCGCAGCGCTGTCAGATTCAACTATAAATTAATGCTATTTCAACAAAATCATACTCTTCAATTTTCATGCAATATCTCTGCTTTCATATCTCTAGATTCTATTAAAAAAACATAGTCTTCATCTCGTCATATTTATAATTTCTTTTATAATGTAGTTTTAAAGTAATCTTTAGAAAATGGGAAAACATTTATTTTGATCGATGAAATTGAACATTAGCAGAGTTGAACTTACCTGAGGCCTCGACCGTTTCAACACCTTCATTTTCATCAGTTTTGCTGAATTCCGTTAGTGTTTTTTCTACAAAAATATTTGTTTTAGTATTATGCATATGAAGAATGTTAGTTCTACAAAAAGCCCTCCTTATTATTTAATACATGCAAACAGTAGGTTCTGTGCACTTTTTCATATTGTGACATTTAATAATAAGACTTCCCATTCTCATTTGTGAAGAATGAATTAATTAATTTAATAAACGTTTTGTATTTTTGTCTTTTGGGAAACCTCTTGATCGTAGTGGTCTTTGACTCTTTTAACCCTTTGATGACGGATTTTGTTTTCAATCGAAAAATGGTTCATCAACCAATCTGTTGTACTTGACTTAAAATGTTCAGATAAAAACCTGATGATAATGCATCGAGAGAAGAGAGGGAGCAATCATGCATGAGTATCTAATAGCAGAAAGAAAGGAGAACATCTGAGAAGGATCTATATGACAGGAAGAAAGAGAGAAAAGACCTGCATGAGATGGCAGGTAGGCGACCTATTTACCTTAAAGACTGTAACAGTTTAATGTGGAGCAAACATTTTCTGTACTGAAAAATAGGTGGAGCAAATAGGTCACACCGTTCTCAAAGGGTGAAATAGAAATCCTATTTCAGAAAGAGTGTCATTTTTTATTTCCATTCTGAACCTCTGCTGTAGCGATTTGACATAAGATTAAAAGAAAGTCTGCTATTGAGTTTGTGATATGTGTAATTCGTTTAAAAAAAAAGTTTGAGAATAAATCTGAGATCATGAAAGAAGAATTTATTTTGAGGAATAAATTGTAAAATTAGACAATCTAGACTTACCAGCATCTTCGACTGTTTCAACATCTTCACTTTCACCAGTTGTGCTTGATTTTGTTAGTGCTTTTCCTGAAAACAAAATTCGTTTTAGTATTATGCAGATGAAGAATGACATTTCTACAAGAACCTAGCGCCTGGTTTTGGTGTAATACAAAAATTAGGTCATGTGCGCTTCTCTCTATCGTAGCTAATGATAATACGAATTGCTATTGTGATTGGTGAAGTTTGATATACTCAACATCATAACCGTAATGCTGTCCTATATTTTAGGAGTGTTGCTTGCAGCAGCGGTCTTAAATTGTCTAAAATATAAATTCCATTGCAGGAAAAGTCCCATGTTTGGTTTCTATGCTAAATCTCTGCTGCTACTCTTTGACATTATAGCAGAGGAAATGATACTATTGAATTTGTGGTATATGAGTAATATGTTTTAAAATTTATCTAGTCCGAACATTATGAGGAGCAGAAACAATCGTGAATGAGCTGATACAATGCCGTCAAGGAAAATAAGTATCTAACAGATGGTCGTATGCGTGCTGTTAATCAACTGTTTCTGTTTGGTATACATCGTATTACGGTCGTCTATCGGCCTACCGTAACTACTTAATATCACCAAAGTTGATGCTAGGATAAGTAGCTTAATGCGGTCGCATTTCAATCGCACACGACGCTTTACACCAACGCTTACTGTTGTTATATCCCTAGCTTTTGCCGTTTACGACCATACAAATGCAAAGAAAGTACAAAGAAAACAGTGACTACGATGAATTTTTCTGATTCAAAATTTACTTAAATAAAACTATTTTAATGTAATTTTCATTAGATTTTCCTATTTGAAAAACTTTGTTCATTCCATCTGAATTGCATAAAAACATCTTGGCTTTGGAATTTTCCACGCCAATATGAAAAACATCAAAAAGTCGCTGTAACAATCATTTTGGCGAAGAGCATCGAATGCGATATATTATGTGCCTTTACAATAGAGCCTCTCGAAAAACCTCTGTTGATTGGGTGCCGCCTCGAAAAATGAGCAAAACAGAATGAGAAACCATGGAAACAAAGAAGTACAAAAAATTCATGCCTTTGGATTTCTTCACCTGAACAGGCAGGCAATAAAAACTGCCGCACTTTTCGTATGACTAAGTCCATGATTTAAATCAGTAACCTTTCATAAGACACATAGACATGTTTATAAAGTTGTTTACACGTATGTACTTACACACTTATCTCGTAGCTGAACTGACATTGCTATGTGTACTTATGAGAACACACAAGCTCATTTAGTCAGCAGACATCTATGTAATTCAACAATGTATGAATCATTCACACCTTCTAACCTAATTATCAGTCAATATTGGAGTAATACAAGACTAGAGCACTAACACCAACCTTCTTCTTGTTGTGAAACTTTACAACTGTTAGTAGAACATCATACCTTAAACGCGTTGAGCTGTACCTGTATATAGTGTTAATATATCATATCTGTATATTTTTGAGCTTTACCTGGTGACTCAATCTGAAATTTTGTTACATTTACGTGAACATCGAATCGATATTCTTTTTAGCTGTACATGTATGTGACAGCTATATATTGTTGAAATGCACTTCAGTATCATATTTGTAGACTTCAGATATCTATTTAGATATTATGCCAGGATAGTTTTTGGGGTCTATGTGGTTAAATATCTGCAAACTTATAAACCTCTCTCGATATCATAGCAGCAAACTTTCGAAATTTAGGTGAACATCTTATATGCAGTTGTTCCAGATCTACATAGATATCTTACATGCAGCCTTTTACGAATCTACCTAAGCATCATATTAGTACATCTTCAACCCTTGTTGAAAATAGAAGAACTCGGAAAAATATCCAATAACATCTCCTAAACCTTTATAAAGACAATATTTTGAACTTTATTGATGCTTTCGAGGATCATTTGTATGACAGAAAAATAAATAATGTCAAACGTATCCATTTTATTTCTACTCTGGCTCTGTTCCGAAACGTCCGCGACTCAGCTGTGCGTCTTAAAAACGATGGAAACCAGCAATATTTTGCTCAACGGTTTACAGTCATCATATCCCCTCGTTTAGCATCCTATCCGATTTCTGTTTATGTTAACGATTAAGTCATGGAAGGTGTTAGAGATGGTTTTGCAGGCATTGTTTACGACGACCGACATTCACCGTAACAATTCGTTTATGACAACAGTATATGGTTTCAATAAATGTTCGTGTTTGATACTGTGATTGATCGATCTAGGTAACTTCAAAATAATGCTTAGAAAATGAAAACTGCATATATTTTGATCGATGAACTTTGCCATTTCGTGATATTAACTTACCAAGAGTCCCGACTGTTTCAGTATCTTCACTTTCACTGGTTGCACTTGATGGACTTGGTGCATTTTCTACAAAGATACCTGTTGTAGTAATATATACATGAAGAATGATACTTCTACAAAATCTCTCGCTCATGCTCCGTGAGATGAAAAAGTTAGATGCCATTTTCTTCTTCATATCGTAAGAAAAAAAAATTTCCCATTGTCACATGAGGAACATCACTTAGTCAACATGATAACCATATTACCTTTCTGTATTTTGAAGCCCTGCTAGCCGTAGAGGTTTCGGGTTTTTCTGTTAAGCATAAGCCCTATTTCAGCAGAAAAATATTCTTCCATATAATTTTTATATGTTTGCAGTGACATTTGCACACAATGCCAAGCGAACGCATGCTATTGAGTTTCTCATGTATGCAATTAATTTCAAAATATAACTTCGAAAGAAATCTGAGATAAAAACAAAGGGATTCTCTTTCGATGAACGAAGTTTACAACTTGATAATCTGAACTTACTAGCAGATTCTATCGTTTGAACATCATCACTTTCACCATTTGTGCCCGGTTTCGATGCTTCTTTTCCTAGAAAGATATTTGTTATAATGTTAAGCCTATGAAGAATGATAACTGTATAAAAATCTTTCGCTCGTATCTGATACGACGAAAAACCGAGGTACTGCCTACATCTTCTGGTCGTAACATGAAATAATAAGATTAGCCATTCTATCTTTGAAAGAATCACTTAAATAAGATTATAACAGTTTCAGCATTCTACAATTCGAGAGCCTTCCTGACTGTTGAGATCATAGACTCTATTAGAAACATAACCTAGTTCAGGTAAAAGTAATTTTCGATTCCCATTCTGAATCTTTCCCATCATTTACTGATATTATATCAAGAAACAAATGCTATTAGGCACGGCATGCGTGTGGTTATGTTTACATTTAATGTCATATCTACATAGGGGAAGTATCTTTTGATAGAAGATCTTGAAATTCGACGAGCTTAACTTACCATCAGCTGCTGATGTTTCAGTATCTTCACTTTCATCAATTTTGCTGAAGCTTGTTAATGCTTTTTCTACAAAAATATTTATTTCAATATAATGCATATTAAAAATGATAATTCTAGAAAAATCTCCCGCCTGTGTTTCGTCCAATCTGAAAATAAGGTTCTTATTATCATGGTAGGCCAGAATAACATTTATTATTCTAACTCAGGAAGCATGACGTAGCTAAGATCGTAAATGTTTCAGCGCTTTCTGTTTAGGGAGTACTCCTGTCCGTAAAGGTCTCGAGTTTTATAATGAGTATAGTCTATTTCAACGAAAGTGTAGTCTTCAACTTCCACTTCAAATCTCTTCACCACCGTTTTGACATGCTATCAAAGTAAAACATGTTATTTCGAGCGTTATGCGTGTGGTTCGTCTTTTGAAATTTCAATCCAAAAAAGTTGTAGAGACCGAAAAAGGATATGTTTTCATGGATAGAAACCGATATTTGATAGACTGTACTTACCAGCACTCTGAACCAATCCTGCATCTTCACTTTCACCAGTGTTGCTCGATTTTGTTGCTTCTATGCCTAGAAATATGTTTGTTTGAGTACTGTAGATGTGAAGAATGATAATTCTACAAAAATCTGGCGCTCACATTTGGTGCCGTCGAATTATTAGCTACTGTACACTTTTCTTATCGTGACATCTACTAATAAGATTAGCCATTTTCATTCAGGCAGAATGAATCAATTAAGATATTATCAGTTCAGTATTTTCTATTACAAGACTCTGTTGGCCCAGGGTTGTCTAGTTCCATTGAGAATAAGTCATGTTTTAGCGAAAATGTATTCTTCAATTTCCACTCAAAATTTCTCCCCTGACATTTGGACATTACATGAAAAGAGAACGTGCTATTCCATTCGTCGTATGTGTGTCATGTATTTTCCAGCTTCAATTCAAGATAAGTTTTAGGAAAACGAGAGAAGGGTATGTGTTTCATGAATGAAATTTAACATTGAACGGCTTGTACTCACCAGCAGCCTCAACTGATCCAACATCTTCACTTTCGCCAGTTTTGCTTGATAATGCTGGTGCTTCTACTAAAAAGATCTTTGTTTTAGTGTTCTGCATATCAAGAATTACATTTCTACAAAAATCTATCGCGCGTGTTCGGTGCGATTGAATAATTAGGTACCGATGGTGCACTTTTTCCTGTCGTGACATATAATAATAGATTTGCCATTTTCACTCTGAGAAAATGAGTCAATCCAGATTTTTACTGTGTCAGCATTCTGTATTTCAAGAACCCTGCTGCTTGTAGTGGTCTCCAGTTTTATTGAAAATAAGTCCTGTTTCAGCAGACGTGTATTCTTCGATTTCCACTTGAAATCTAGTTTCTGACATAATATCAAAAGGAAACATGGTGTTCCATTCGTCATACATATGGAATTCATTTTAAAGTTTGACTTCAAAATAATTTTTAGGATATTGAAAAAGGCTTGTGCTTTGATGGATGACAATTAATATTTGACTAGTTGTACTTACCAAAAGTCTGAGCCAATCCAACATCTTTGCTTTCAGCGCTTTCAGCAGTGTTGCTCAATTTTGTTGCTTCCTTTTCTAGAAACAGATTTGTCTTAGTATTTTTCATCTTAAGAATGATAATTCCACAAGAACCTTTCTCTAGTACCTGACACGAACCAAGGTTAAGATATAGCTCACTTTCCCTATTGTGACATATTTTAATACAATGGGTCATTCTAATTCATAGAGCATGACTTAGTTAAGACTAACCATTTCAAAATTCTGTATTGTCGGAATCCTACTGTTCATAGATGTCTTTGATTCTGCTAAGATTATCGCCTGTTCCAGAAAAAGAACTATTCTTCAATTTCCATTCTAGATCTCTATTCTGACTTTTCAAAAAATATCAAAAGAAAACATACTATTCACTTCTTCATACATGTGGAATGCATTTTAAAGTTTCACTTCAAAATAGTTGTCAGAAAACGAAAAGGGCACATGCTTTCAGAGATAAAAATTAATATTTAACGGCCTATACTTACCAGTAGCCTCGACCGATCCAACATCCTCACTTTCACCAGTATTGCTCAAATTTGGTGCTTCTTTCCCTAGAAACAGATTGATTTTAGTATAATGCATATGAAGAATGCTAATCCTACAAAACTGTTCCTCTAATATTTGCGGCGATTCAAAAGTTAGGTATTGCTTATTTCTTCTTATCGTGGCATAGAATAATAAGAGTCGCCACTCTAATCCTGCGAGCATTACATAATTCTGATAGGAAATCCTATTTCAGCAAAAGTGTTTCCTTCGGCTTTCATTCTGTGTGTTTGCTGTACTATCTTGATATAATACCCAAAGAAAATGCGCTATTAGGTTCATCACAGATGAGTAGTTTATGTTGAAACTTTACTTCAGAATAATTTTTAGAAAACGAAAAATGGAATGTATTTCCATGAATGAAAGGTAACATTAAACGATTTGTACTTACCGATAGCCTCGACCAATTCAGCATTGTTATTCTCATCAGTTTTGCTTGATGTTGTCGGTGCTTTTGCTAAAAAGATGTTTGTTTTAGTATTATGGACATGTAGATTGGTAATTCTACATAAATCTCTCGTTTATGTTTGATATAATGTAAAAATTATGTACTGTGCACTTTTCTCATCGTGATATATAATGATAGTATTTGCTATTTCATTTCAGGAAAATGACTCAGTTAAATATGTAACTGTTTCAGCATTCTGCATTTTGAAAGCCCTACTGTCGTTCATGGTGTCGGTTTCTATTGATAATAAATCCTATTTCAGAGAAAAAATATCAGAAGAAAAACATGCCATTTAGTGCGTCAGATGTGTATTATTTTCATGTATAACTTTCAAATAAATTTGAAATAACAAAAGGAAAATTTGTTTTTGATGAAGGATGTTTAAAACTTAAAGGCCCGTGCGTACTATCAGCCTGACCCGATCTAACATCTTCAGTTTCACTAGTTTTGCTCGATGTTATTGGCGCTTTTTTTTAGAAAAGTATTTGTTTTGTTATTATGCGTATGAGAAATGGTAATTTTACAAAAAACGGCTCCCTGATGTTTCTATGCGATCCGATAATTGGGTTCTATGCACTATTTTTTAGTGTGACGTGTAATAATAAGGCTTGTCACTCTGGTTAGGGGACAATTACTTAGTTAAGATCGTAACTGTTTTAACATTTTGTATTTTGAGGATCTTACGGTTCTCAGGTTTCTTGAGTTCTGTTGAGAATATAACCTGCTTCAGAAAAACATTATTCTTCGATTTGCATTATGGGTCCCTGTTCTGCATTTAGAAAAAATATCAAAAGGAGATCGACCATTGCCTTTGTCATGCATGTAGAATTTATAATAAAGTTTCAATTCAGGATAATTCATGGAAAACCAACAAGGCATGCTTTCCTGAATGAAAGGTAACAGTAAACAGTTTGTACTTACTGGCAGTCTCGATTGATCCAGTAGTTTTACTCTCATCAATTTTGCTTGATATTGTCGTTGCTTTTGCTAAAAAGATATTTGTTTAAGTGCTCTGCATATCAAGAATAATAATTCTACAAAAATCTATCGTTCATGTTAGATATGATATAAAAAACAGGCACTGTGCACCTTTTCTCATAGTAACATATAATGATAGGATTCACTATTTTCATTCGAGGGGAATGGCTCAGTTAAATTTGTAACTGTTTCAGTGTTCCGAATCAGAGATGTCCATCGCGGCTCAAAATCTGCCGCTGCCGCGCCGCGGCCAAAATCAAACAAAGCTGCCGCGCCGCTCCCGCGACGCGATGGCCTGTTAAAAAAAGCTACCGCGCCGCTGCCGCGCTGGTATTCGAAAAAATGTTTTGATTTTCAAGGCTTTGACTGATTTGAAATAGAACTGATGCCGCTAATCGATCAGATTCGCTAAGTCTTACAGTATAGCATACATACACATGCAGATTCTGTGCAAATTCATGAATTTTTGAAATTTTTTCCTAAAAAGCTGCCGCCGCCGCGCCGCTGCCGCAACGGCAAAATAAAAATCTCTCCCGCGCCGCTGCCGCGCCGCGATAGTTTTTGGAAAAAATCTGCCGCTGCCGCGCCGCCACCGCCACGGCGGCAGCGCCGCGATGGACATCTCTGTTTCGAATTTCAAGAATCGGGCTGCTTGCAGCTGTCGTGAGTTGTACAAAGAATAAATTCTATTTCAGCAAAAGTGTAGTTTTCGGTTTTCATTCAATGTTTTATGTAACGTTTTGACTTCATATCAAAATAAAACATGGTATCTATTTCATCATACGTATGTGTAATTTCCTTTAAAGTATGACTTGAAAACACTCTGAGATACTAAAAATGAAATTAATTTTGATGGGTGTAATTAAAAAAATGTGACGGTTTGAACTTACCAACAGGCTCCAGCGTAGTTGTATCTGTACTTCCATCAGTTTTGCTCGATGTTGTTGCTTTTTTTTCTAGAAAGATATTTGTTTTTGCAATATGCATATGAAAAATGAAAATTCTACAAAAATATGTTGCGGTTGATTGGTATGATCCAGATATTAGGTGTTACCCACTTCTTCTCGTGACATATGATAATAAGGTTTGCCATTCTAGCTATCGGAACATGACTTAGTTAAGATTATAATTGTTTCAGCATTCTTTATTTTGGCAGTCATGCGAGCTGTATGAGATCTCGTGTTCTATGAAATATAGATGCCGGTTCAGAAAAAAAGTGTTTTTAAATTTTCATCTTATATATCTATTGTGACTTTTTCATGTGATATCAATAGAAAAAATGCTGTGTAGTTCGTCTTATGTGTACTTCATTTTAAAATAGTAATGAAAAGTAAATGTGATATAATACAAAGAGACTTTGTTTTGATGAATGAACTGTAAGACTAAACGACTTGAACGTAGGAGCATATGTGGCTATTTGACATCTTCATTTTCAGAAGTTATGCTTGAATCAAGAAAAGAATTCATCGTACAGATATCAATTCTTCAGAGAATAGTGGATTTTTGTTTGTTTGAACTCTACAGTTCATAAATTTACAAATTTGGATTTAAGGTTGTTATGGTAGCTGTCATAGTTTCCATTTCTCACAAACAGAATATCCAATTCACAATTCTCGAATCAAAAGCCAATATGATCTGAGATTTCTCTAGCGCAATATGTTGCTTTGTTTTCTTCTTTCGAGATGAGAATTCTGTTAAGATCACGTTGTCTCTCTCTCTCTCTCCAATGTTCTAACGTGATCCATGGTAGGTTATGCTGAAACAATACATATCTAGAACTTTCTCACTAATCGAAAGATCATATTGATATTAAATAATGCAATTTACCGAATACAGAAAATTGAATTATAAGATTCTGATTTCATTTAGTACGAAAGCGGCTTTCTACGAGTTGTCACCATTTCATTTGATTTTCTTTCTCCCAATTGTTTTGTCACTGAAATATGTGTGGCAATATGTGTCAATGACTACGAAGAGACATGATCCGTTCCGAATGGTTGTTATAATATCTTGAAAGTCGTGCGAGAGTCAAAAATCGTCGGATTTTTTCTGATAAGTTTCCTACCATATCCTGTCATAAATGGTTGGAAAATGATGAAATATTTCAGAAGACTTAAGAACCCAAAATCCTCTATAGGTGAAGACAATAGGTTGAACTGGAATGTCTCTGCGATTTTTTAGCGGTTTTCGACCAATTCCATGCTCTTTTTGGCGAGAAAAAGCCTGAAATCGCTGAATAAATTTGTAGACATTTCAGCGCAGAATATTACATCCAAGTTACACTTATTCCCAGATCTTTCCTGTCAGTTAAGTTAGCCTTGCTACATTTCCTGGACCAGTTTCGATGCGATCTGCTGAATCCCAGAATTCGAAATTATCATTTTGATCTATGCTTAAACTAATGACTACGTTGTCATCGGTACGATTTCTTATTCAATAATTATTGTTCTGGTTTGTGGAACTTCTAGATTTATTTCTGTGTCGATAAATTACATAGACTTTCGTGAACAAGATGTGCATTGATGATCATATCTACATATAAAAGGATGTGAGTATAGGTCCACAGATTCATTCAAAAAAAGGGCAACATTGAACTTATATAGAAAGGCATGTGAATATGTACATAGCTTCATTTTTTAAACATGTTTATCAGTATTAATACAAATTGACACTAAATGGTAAGTCAGCTAGTGCTTACAAAAGTTATTAATTCAGTATGCATTTATACAAATGTTACGATACAAAAAAAAATAATATTGACATACTAGAAAGGTGAACAATGCTAGTTTTGAGAAGTCATGAGGCTTTTCCGCAAACGATACCTTTCGAGTATAATTTTAGCTGATCAATAATCATTTTTCTTTGATTTTTCTTCCAGATCTGATGAAGATAGGATACGGTTCTATTCTTCGAAATATTGTAGACAGATCTGATTCCGATACAATGTCTTATCGGTATAGAACATAGTTTCCATGTTCATTTCTAACGGAAGCGAAGGCTAGATTCATCGATTTCCGTAATAAAAAATCGTTTTGAAGATTTCCTAAATAAGTTATTATCGCTTGCATCACATTGCGTAGGTTTGCAGATCTCTTCTAGTTCGAATTTTGAACAAGTCAATTATGTTATTGTTTCGAAACGATAGGGATGTGCGATGTCGAGTTCATCAAGCAATTTGATTTCTCATTCTCGCTGAGCAAAAGAATATCGGTTAGCTGTAAGGTAGTGAACATCACAACTCCAGCCAGATCACTAAGCGTGACTATCTGTGGCAGGCTGACCATGCCGATTCCTACAATGGACCAGACAGATCGTTTGGAAAAGATAAACACTTGGCGTATGTATTTTTTTCTTTGATATCAAAGTTTTATCTCGTAAATTAGGTATATTGCTAGCAAACAAATACAATGAAGTTCATTCCAAGGATGAAATTTAGAAAATGATGGATTTAAATAAGTATTTGAAAATGAAAATACTGTTCTACAATCCTATCCATTACCATTCTTGAGACATTATAAACACGAATCTTCACATTTATCATACTTGCTCGTCATCTTCTTTTAATGCTAAGTTATTTAGTTGAAGTTAAACGGTCTGATTCTGTTACAACTTTAGCAGTTACAGAGCATCATTCCTCTTGTTATCTCAATAATTTGAAAGAGAATCTTGTCTTTCAAATGGATTCAAAATGTTCTTGAGCGTAAATTAGATTTTTCGTCTCTATAGTACTTTTTTTTATGTTTTTATTTTTCCTATACATGACTACCGCTCGATTCATAAACGTTTAATCTACAGTAAAATATTTTATGATAAACACTTCTGTGGTAGGAACACTTCGTTATAGTAGACTATCTGAGTTCTTGCCACGCGAATTTTGTTTAAAGTCGATCGCTTCTTAATGAACAGCTCCTTAAAGCGAGCTGCGAACGTTTTCTTTTAGTTTCATAATCTAGAACAAGCTTCTTAAAATGAAATTTTTTTGTGCTACGCATTGTCTTACATGCTCTCTTGTGTACATAAGAATAAAACGGCTCTATATAGTGAAAATCTTTGAATATCCCATTAGAGAATTTTCGCTGTATTCAACTTATGATAATTTCAGTCACTTGTTGAAATTTCTCTGAACATTAACACGTAATTCTATTGTATTATTTTCATGATTTTAGCATGACAAAATAGACAGATAATTATGGGCAGACTAGATTTAAAAAGATCAACCAGTTTAATTCTCTGATAGGTATGACTATTACAATGTGACCCTTCGTTTCAAAGACTAACAAAACTGTTCTATATGATGTTGACATTGCAAAGCAATAACTTTCACAATCTTTGTCCATCTCTGTTAAGTTTTCCATAATTTATCTTTTTGCAGTTTTCATTGAGAACTTTTTATTACTCCACTCCAGTATTCGTTTACTGTTTCTTTAATCATCCCTTTATCATCACTCAGAAAAATCCAATTGATTGCTCCCGTGACTATATTCATCAATTAGCTTTTCTCCGTGAATATGAATCTTTCAAAATACATTTCCTTATTTTTAGTTTCGATCCTCAATCACTAATTATTCATTATAAAAGTTGGCGTGCTAGTGCTTCATCAAATCCCTCAGTAATGACAGAAATTTTATGCGGTTTGATTCGATAACGAAAGTTAAGACGATGAAGACTTACTCAAAGCCAGATTGGCACTATTGACTATGAATGGTGTTGCTTCAATGGTCGTGATTTGTGTTGTATACGTATCTAAAGTAAAACGAAAGTTAATTATTATTTTCCTAAGTATCTCTGATACAGAACATCATTTGCATAATCAAACTTTAAAACTACGATTTCAACTAAAAAGAAACAGACGAAACAGAAAGCTTCACACTTACTCGATGTTGATGTTACTGTCTGATCAAGATTACAAACATGACTTAAAATAAACTCGGTTTCAGGACCATCCACGACAGCCGATGCATTCAAAATTTTGTCTGACGTCGGTGTGAATACATAAGCGTGCTTATCACTTGGAACATTAATCATTTCTGTGACTATTCCTCCCTTCTCGAAAATACATCTGATCGACTTGAAAGATGTGTCAGTGCCACTTAGTATGAAATGCCAACCATATCGGTAACCATTGGAAGGTATTGGACAATCACCAGATTTAAATCCTGGATTCACTGAACCAATGTGAGCCGCTTTCAAATACGCATTCTGAGTTGCATCTGCCGATGAACAAAGATGACATATGATGACTGAGAAAACTATCAGAATGTTGATTCGAAACATGATCAATAAGATATAGTATTTTTCCTACGAATACACAACGTATATATGTCAAAATTAAGAGAAATAGGCTGAATTAATACTACCTTTTATATTTATTCTTGTTTGCTTAGTTCTGTCTATATAAGAGCAAGAAATAATAAAATTAAAACTGCTATATATGAAGAGTAGAAAGAATTTATACATGAGGACCGTAATTGTTTTCTGGTGCATATACTTGACCATCTGTTGTAGCAATATAATTGCATCTTCCACTTCAATATATTAAAAATTGTTCCACTCAATAAGAGTATAGCTGATTGATAATTACACTAGTATGTACTTAAACTTGACACAAATAAAATATCATTCTATCAAATGACTAGTTACAGACTCAAAAAATCTTTTCTTTTCTGACAATACTCTAACTTTGTCTAATATTTTCGAATCAACAAAAGTACTGCATACAAAAATACTTATCTAGAAAAGGAAAAAACGATTATAACGGGTTGAAAGATTAAAGCATCTCGCAAGGTAGTGTCACGAATATGCAACAATATTTAAATTGTTGGTGTTGATACGATTGTGGTATCAAAGCTATTGGTTTTGATTTAGTTTTGTGTTTAGGTTCGCTGTTGCTTTCGAAACATTACAAGAAAACTAATTCTGAAAGAAAGCATCTATTATACTTCCCAATAAACTTGATCATACATTTACTCTTGAATCCATACAGAAAA